GGGTAGTTTCTGGCGCGCTGTTCCGGCAGCGCCAGCCCAGGGCGGCCTGTGCAAACCCGGGCCCCGCGGAGTGGAAAACCCGCCCCCGGGAGGCAGCGCGCAGCGTCCTGGTCTTCGGGGCAGTTGCTCAAGCAGATCTGTTAGTTTGTTGTGGGCACGGGCGCGTTTGTAAAGACTAATCTCAGAGTGTCTGCTTGTTTATAGGAAATAAACGGGTTCTGATGCAAGGAAAACGATGAAATTCGGTTGCCTTTCCTTCCGACAACCCTATGCAGGATTAGTTTTAAACAAAGTCAAAACAGTAGAGACTCGCTGGCATCCTTTGCTAGCAGACTACAAGAACTGCACCATTGCCGTTCATATAGCTGTTAAGGACTGGCAAGATGAAACATGGAGAGCAATTCTTTTGAATAGGTTTGGTATGACACCAAAACAAGTGCAAGATTTGTTGGATGAAGGGGAAAAATTTGGCAGAGGAGTTATTGCGGGTAAGCAATGTTGGATTATATTTTCCAAGCAAGCTTTCAATCCATTAATTGCTTCAGTCAATACACATCTGCTTTACACAGTTACGCTCGTTATAACATTGCTTTAACTTTGAAGGAGTGGTGCCTGAGTTGTGACTGGGGGGTTATTTCAATCCTTAGAAGTGTAAGCTGAAGTCAGTGAGGGAAGTCGTGAATGAAATTTATTATTTTTCATTGTGTTGGAAATGTACACTCACTTTAGCCTACAACTCTAGTCTGTACAAGAAATAAAATTGATTTGTGCTAACTTGTCATACGGTAAGATAGTTTAAAGTGGGTTGCATATTATTTTGTTTCATGATAATCAATGTCAATTCCACACTTTTTGCATTTTGAGCTTAGGAACTCTTGCTGAAACCATTTTACAGTACTCGTAGTCAAGTTAAGTCATGACATTGCAGTGCTTTGCATGTCATGTTAGAGTATCACATAAATAAATCCTATTTCAGTTCTACAAATGCTCTATCCCTCTTGTTATTTGAAAAGCGAAGAAGTTTGTTTCTGTAACACCAAGTTAGGATGGAGTAGTGTTTCTTTGCATATATTGTGCTGAAATACAATGTATGTTGCTGCACTGTATACTTACAAAGGTTTTATCCAGCACTCATTTTGCACCCTTTTCTTGTAGGTATCTTTTGTTACACCATCTGTCTTGCATTCTCATTTGATTGTTTTTAGCTATTCCTGCACAACAAATTACTTCTATCACATACACCAAAAAATTGTTGTGGTTCTACAGTAGTGAAAATTGTTAGGTACAAAGGAATATGCAAATTTGTAACCTTGACATAAATTGCACACTAAATTGTGGAGTAGGTATCAAAGCTTCTTTGATCTTTCTTTTAATGTTTTTAACCATTAAGCTATACAGAAATTCCATGTCATAACATTAAAAGGGTTCCAGGGAGCAGGAACTTCCATATAGTTTAATGATTTTAAAATGTTAATAGTTTTATTTTTAATGAAGCTGTTTCAAGGCCAAACGTAGTGCAAGAGTTCAGGTAGCAGCAGTATCTCCTTAGATGCAGGCTTCTTTTAACTGTATCACTGAATTGTGAATATTATAACTGCATGCTTCACCTGTTCTTCACCTACCTAAGTTCGGTCACATAGGCCATCTTCTGCAGTGAATGACGGTGGTTTGAGGTGTGCATGCTTCATATTGTGTTCTTCTGGTAACAAATTAGCTGGTTAGTATGTCCTCTGGGAGGTTTAATTTCAGAAAACTTTTCTCAAGATCAAACAGCCAACTAATTTTATATTTTAATTTTATAATACAGGATTAATTGACATTGGAGAGACATCACTGTATCCAGAAAACTTGCCTCCTGAAAAGATTCTGGACCTGGAAAACAAAGCTGTCCTCAGTAATCTAGAACAGAAATACTTGACTGTTGTTTCAAATCCAAGATGGCTCCTGGAACCAATTCCTGCCAGAGGGGGAAAAGATGTGTGGCAGGTGGACATCCCTGAAGAACTGATCCCTTCAGAAGCATAGGTGTTGCCCCTCGCTATTATTTTTCCTGCCTAAATGCAAACTTGCAGTTTACAAGTCAGCATCTTGAATACCAGTGAGTTGTTTAGGATTCCCTTCCAAAACTAATTGTTTGAAATAGCAAATACATTTGAAGAACTGCTCTTTTGAGGCAAAATAAACAAGATGTAATTTTTATGACTATTACTGGAAATTATTAATGTTTACTAGACTTTTCCTATATAAATAACTCTAAGTAAATGCAATTTTTTAAGACATGGTTGATATAGTGTGTGTCAATTTAAGCCATGAGTAAATACAACCATATTACATGATGCACACATCTCTGATTATATGAGGAAGACAGAGTTTGTAGGACCCTTCAGAAAAATGGTTCTTGAAAGCAGGCTGCAATCAGTAATACAACTGTCTCACAGCCCACTCTTAACCTTTCATTTGTTGGGATCACTGACAAAGAAATCATCTGAGATAAGGCCAGTCCTAGGGGCTTCTCAGACAGAGGCGCAGAGTTGCTGGACAAGGTGTCTGCACACAGAGCGTGTAATGTGCCGTAAATCTGAAACTTCCAGAAAGGACCAGATTTTCCTCATTCACAGGTCAGGTACATTAGATGTGCATATGATGGGGGGAGCAGCCTGCAGTATACAGCTCTGTGACCTGGCAGCCTTTAGAGAAAGGCCTTTAATAGAAGGTGCTTGTACAAAATTGAATGAAGTATTACAGTATTTCTTTCTCTCATTTAAGATGAAAAATACTAGTAAGTGTTGGAAGTCTAATATTGAATTAAAGACAAGCGTGAAGAGTAACAAATGGAAGGCACTAATTTTGGCACTTTTAGAGGTTTTCAAAATTCACACCCTGCATTACAATGAAAATCCTTCTGACTCTGGAGTAAGGCCCAAGGCCAGGCATGGCTATAAAAACAGCACAACTGGCAGAGGCTTC